TCCCTTAAGAGGGCTGTTGACCCACTATAGATCATTTGCCTCATCGCATGAGCCAAGGCGTAAAAAAGGGTGTGAGTCATTAGCAGCAGAGGTTTCGGGTGTGCGTGGGTGTTAAGACGTCTGGAAAGGGATCTCAAAACTTGGTGTCGTAAGCCACCACCTCTGTTCAAAGACGGTCGTTCACATACATTCACATGGACATAGATGCTTCTTTCACTCCTCTTTCAAACCATCTGTCTTCTCTGTCCAAAATGTGAACACTGGCATCCTCGACAGAGTGACCTTTGTCCTTTAGATGCGGATGTACAGCTGAGTCTTGTCCTGTGGAGGTGGCTCTTCCATGTTGTGCCATGTGTTTATGAAGTGGCTGTTTGCCACTTTGCTTTCCAAGCTCCTTAAATTACTATGACCTGGATGACTGAAAACCTACACAGACATCTAATGGCAACCAATACTCATCTTAGCTAGCTAGGAAAACTTCCTTTTTACAAAGTCCAACTGCAATGTAAAACAATTTGTCCTTCTATTCTCTATTATTGTTTATGTCCTATTACTTGTTATTAAAAAATAAAACAATTTTTACCCCTTGCCTTGCATCTGTAAATGACCACGTGACAGAGCAGTATCATATTATCATATTGCATCAAGTGTGTCTGGATGTTATCTGGTAAAACTCAATAATATTGAAGTCTGTTTTATTCCTGTGAACACTGTGAGTGTGTAACACGGATGCATTGAGAAAAATTGGATAATGAAGTGAAAGTCAATAATTTATGTGATCACTTGAGTGAAGATTTTTTGCATTATGAATTACTAAAGCTCCAGGAACAGAGCTCGGCTGTGCAGCAATTTGGCAATTATATGCAAATTGCTACAGAATGAGAAAAAAAAATAAAAACAACTATTGACCACTGAAAAATATTAGCAGCAAGTAGTGAGTAGTGGCACTTTCTCTGCTGATAAATGTACTCAAAATGTCTAGTCCGCTTACTCCACCACATTTAGGACTTGATTT